CAGTCTCCCTTGACACCAGGCAGTTAATAACCTAGGATTCATCTAGGGAAGAAGTTCTGACTTCAATGCAGGCTGTGGTCAGGGAATCATCCTAAATTATAATATGACAGTAATCACACAAGAATTTAAAAATTAAATTTATTAGTTTATTATAGTTGGAGGGTAAAGAAGAAAATATCAAAGCTCTTTGTCTAACAAAATGGCTCTTGGAGATTAATTTATATATCATTACCCATGATAACCAACTAGCATAAAAGGCAATTAAAAATGGATGGTTATATTCCAGTAGAGACATATACTGGACCAGACATCACCTACTGGCATGCTTTTTGCCTTAAAGTCTATTAATGTAGCTATCTTTTGGTTAATGTTTTCAGTAATGCTCCTTTTCTCTTCTTTTGTTTTCAACCTTTCTATCACTTTATGGTTTGGTATGTCTCTTGAATACAGCATATTGTTAATTTTAAAATCCAGTCTAGCACTATTTATTTTTTACAGAATAATTAGGTCTACTTACTTTTAATATAATTGTTCATATAATTAATTTTAAATCTACTCTCTTTATTTTTTTCTCTTTGTCCTCCTTGATCTGTGTTTTTACTTCTTTCTCTTTTCGGATTAGTTATCTTTTAAACTATTATAACTTTTTTATTGCTTTATGTATTTTACTTCCATTTTTCCTTCTATGTTTTTCATTGTATTTCACTTTGCTTCTATTCTTTCAGTGATTAATTTAAAAATTAGTTTTAATATTTAATTATTTTTCTTTTTTCAGTTAATTTTAACCCTTGATTTATCTCATATAGTAATACTTATTACATTTACCCTCATCCTGGACATTATAGATACCTTGGAATACTTTTATTCCATTTTGTGTCATCTACATATATGCAGTTATTATTTGTTATAGTTCTGAGTATTAAGCCTCAGAAGATATTTACACATTTTTATATGATCAATGTTAGATTTATCCGTGTATTTATGGCTACCTTTCTCTTTATATCTTTCCGCGCCTGTCTTTCCATATGGAATCATTTTTCTTCTGCCTGAGAAACATCATTTAGAAATTTCTTTTGTGTTAGTCTGCTTGGGAAGAACTGTTTCAGCTTTTTTTCTCTGAAAGTGCCTTTATTTTACTTTAATTATTGAAGACTTTTTATTAAGTATGTAAGTCTAGGAGGCAGTTATTCTCAGAACATTGAAAATATTTGCATTTGATTTTTGTTTTTCAGAAGTTACTCAATGGTCTGACTGCTGCTGATTGGAATGTGATCTCTCTTTTTTCTCTGTTTTTTTTTTTTTTTTGCAATTTTTGTCTTTGTTTTTTATTTTCTGCAGTTTTGATGTCCCTTTATTTACCTTGTATGGGATTGGTTGGCCTTCTGGAATCTGTTGATTTATGTCTTTCATATTGCCTGGAAAACTCTCAAATATTACTTCTTCAAATATTGCCTTTGCCTTGTTTTCTCTCTCTCTTCTACTTCCAAGACTCTAACCAAAATATTAGATACATCTTCGCACCCCATTTGCTATTTTTTTGTTTGTGTGTTTAATATTACATTTTTTCTCCTTGTCCTACATTTTGAATTTTTTCTTCTTCCCCATATTCTGCTTTACTGTTTTCTCTTCAGCTGTGACTTCTCTCCTGTTAAACTCTTTCATTGAGTTCTTAATTTTAGCTATTTTTATTTCATTTCAAAATTTATTTTTCCCCCACCAGGGGAAGGAACTGTTTCCAGGAAGAGGAAAGGATCAACTGTAAAATGTTGCTAGATTAGACTAAATGAGGGTAAGAACTGACCATTGGGTTTAGCAAAAAGGTTTTGGCAGCCTTGACAAGAGCAGTTTCAGGAGATTGATGAGAATAAAGGTGTGATTGTAGTGGATTCTAGATGAGGGATTGAATGTGAAAATTGAACAATGGCCAGACCATATATAAAAATAGAATTCTGAGCCACAGTGTGCAGCAACCGATGCTGGAGACCAATCCATTATTTACACTAACCAGCCCAGATTATAGTTGTGAAAAGAAATGTCTCCTTTTGTCCCTTTCGACTACAAGACGCCTATGCTTACCCTTGAAAAGTTGGAAGGATTTTGAAAAGATTGTGATCAAGGTGTGAAAAGATTATACATTTACTCCCCCTACCATGCTAAGCTGCCAGGAGATGTAAATGCCTTATCTTTAGACTCTCAGCGCACTTCTATAGCAAAGAATTAATTTTCCCCAGAGGGCATCTGGCTTTGACTTCCTTTCCACATGATAAAGCTGCTAATTGCCTCAGAAAAGATTTCTGAGTTACAGTACAAAGGTACGCATACTTGGGGTCAATTAATAATTCTATTTTTGCTAAATCTTATCATTAGTATATCACTACTACACAAAACCAGACTTGGAGCTAGTTTGTGTCTCACTGCACCATTTATTAACTTTCTGACCATGAGCAAGTTGCTTGACCTCTTTTAGCTTTATTTCTCATGCACAAGATTGTGATAGATAATAGATATTTTCACTCAAGTAAAATGTTGGAGTGTTCCAGCCTTGTTTAGATGGATGTCTACTTTGTTATCCTGCCTTTCTAGTAAGTTTTGTTTTTACTTTTTGCTGAGAATCAGCCCGGAAGCTATTGGAGGAGGAGAAACTAAATTGTGGTGGCATAAAACAAGTTAGACTGTGATAAGGGTCAACCTCACCTAAGTAGGATAGAACCCTAAGAAACAAAGTTATTGTGTGGAAATTTTCAAGGATTAAGACCACTGTATGTGCTGCTTCTGAATTCTAAAAGTACAAGATTTTCATTCAAATAACTCTCCTACAAAATCTTACAAGAGTCCATCAATTCACACCTACCCACCCCTAGTAGTTCTGTGAGCTGAGAGCTTTTCAGAGTTCAAAAATCCTGGTCTGACTCCTACAGACTTTGATCACAAAGTGAAGTTTACTTATTATCTGGACTCTGCTGGAGGAACTATATTCATTAGCTGAATCATTAGAGTAGAAGCTTCTAGCTGAAGTAGTGTTGCATTATAAAATGCTCTTCAAACTGCCAATTTCACTTGTAAGTGAAGTTCCTTACCACTACTCTAGTCTGCTTCCCTCATAGGTTACTACAAAGAAAATATCACTATTATTTTCATCAGAATATTGAGGGTCAGAATTGGGTCACCAATATTAAAGTTCTTAGAAATTCTGGGAACGCCTGGGTGGCTCAGTCGGTTAAGCGTCTGCCTTCGGCTCAGGTCATGATCCTGGGGTCCTGGGATCGAGTCCCGCATCGGGCTCCTTGCTCAGCAGGGAGCCTGCTTCTCCCTCTGCTTGTGTTCTCTCTCTCTCTCTCTGACAAATGAATAAATAAAAAATCTTTAAAAAAAAAAAAGAAATTCTGGATTATGTTGTCATAAAGGGGGGTCATTTCTTTTGCATGGAATGTTGAAAGGATTGATAGTATGCAGATAGCATCTTAGATTTGCTATAAGTTGAAATAGCTTTAAGGAAAACGTGATAAAATAGAGCTTCTACAGAAAACATTCTATATATTAGAATTCCATGACAGTGAGCTTTTGGTAAAGCCACTGATTGATCACTGAAAATCTTAGGAAAGAATCTCAAGGACGCACAGGAAAATTAGACAAAGGACTTGATGAATATATTCATAATGACAAAAAAAAGTGCGTTTAGAGAAAGAGGAAATGGACATGGTCATCCCAGACTAAGACGACTTATAAAAGACAAATTATAATACCAGCCAGAAATTAACCGTAAAGGCTAGATGATATAAATATAAAGTCATAGATGAAAATTAATTTTTTAAGTTGATGAAATCACTTTGAGGATACATAAAGCAGAGAAAGATTTGATAGATCAAGTATTAAGAATAACTAAAAATCGGGCGCCTGGGTGGCTCGGTGGTTAAGTGGCTGCCTTGGGCTCGGGTCATGATCCTGGAGTTCCGGGATTGAGTCCCACATCGGGCTCCCTTCTCGGCGGGGAGTCTGCTTTTCCCTCTGACCCTCTCCGAAAATCTTAAAAAAGAAAAAGAATAACTAAGAATAAAAAACTCACTGAATTTCTAATGGAAACTTGAAATTGAACCAATCAGGAACTTTTTATAATGAATGGCTGTTGAAGAGAAACATCAGGTAAAGTATCGAATCTCTTGAAAAACACTTTCAGCATTAGCAAATATATAAAGGTAGTATATTACAGCAATTCAAGAGATATATAACAGCATACAAAACATATTAAGCAAAATTGTATTGTAGACAATTATATGCAATTACTTAAAACTTTGTTGATAGGTTTCAATAGTTCCTAAAATATATGGTTGTTAAAGAAGGAATTGAGTAGAGAATAAAGTATTACTGACTGGTTTTTACTTGTAAAGAATGTAAAAATAAAATAAATTTTTGTGGGTGCCTGGGTGGCTCAGTTAGTTAAGCATCTGCCTTCGGCTCAGGTCATGATCCTGGAGTCCCAGGATTGAGTCCCGCATTGGGCTCCCTGCTCAGCAGGGAGTCTGCTACTCCCTCTGACCCTCCCCCCTCTCATGTGCTCTCTCTCAAATAGATAAATAAAATCTTTAGAAAAAAATAAAATTTTTGGTCAATTCTGTATGAGATTTAAATGATCTTACCTTAAAAAATATATCAAATAATTGTTCACAAATTATTTTCTGTAGTAAAGAAGAGAAAAATTTTAGTTAAAATAGGCAAATAAGACTTTGCGTCTCCCTTTGAGAAAAGCATATGTGTGATTTTTAAAGTATGAAGCCTATGAATATGATGGTCTTAGAAAATATCGTCAGTATATGGAAATATAAATGTCATATATAGATGTAAAATATCCTGTGGCTCTTAAGAGCATCATGATTTTCATTGATCATTAAATACTGGAGATTAATCTATCTGCCTTAGTTATAGTGTTTGCTCCATTATCCTAGTTGTTTTTACATTTGGAAACTACAGTTGCTTATTAGAAAAACAGTATTTCATCCTTCCAGATCATGGATGTCTTTCACTCCTCTTCCACAACAATACTCATTTCCTCACGTTTTCCTGATCATTCTCTCATTTTTTGAAGAAGCATCTATTTTACTACAAAGGAATTGTGAAGGATGGGGTGGGTACTGTTATACTTTCTTGGTGAGAATGTGAAGGAAATCAAACTGCCTGTTTTAAACCTGGCTTCTACTTTTTATAACCTTGGGCAAGTTACTAAATTCCTCTTTGTCTAGTTTCTTCATTTACAAAACAGAGACAACAAGAGGGTCTACTCATAGTTTATTATGAGGGTTAAATGAAAAAAGACATCAAGCATATTTGCCTGGCATATAATAAGCACCCTACAAATATATGCGATGATGATGAGGATGATAACAGAGAATCTGACAACATTTATCTAAAGAAAAAAAACGTACATTTCCTTGGACTGAGTAATGTTGGTTCTAGGAATGTATCCTAGGGAGATAGTAAGTTGAGTGCTTAAAGATAGGTATAAGACTATTCATTGCAGTGCTGGTTGTAACAGTAAAACATTAGAAATATCCTGCATGTCCGTGAAGAGACATCTCTTTTTAGGGATATTTCCACTCATATATATGTCATTTTTCTTCTCTACAGCATTTACATTAAACAGTTAATTTCCTTAGATATAGCCAAGATAAACACTCCAAATTCTTAATGTCTTTCAGGGAGGTGACTTTAAAAACAAACAAACAAACAAACCAAAATGGGCATTGATCCTGTATGCATTCCCAGAGGAATAGAGGCCTCATTGTAGTAGGGGAACTCTTATAAATGAGTTATTCCTCACATGTCATGTAGAGATTGATATAGAATAATCTGGATTCAAATGATAAAATTTTAGAGGCATTGGCCAGGCTTTGAACCAATTTTAGAAATGAGGATTTGCCATATTTTAGCCCCAAGAAACAGAATTAGTAAAGGGAGAATACAGTTAGAATAGAATATCAATAAAAACTTTAGTCTTTCCCTTGAATTCTGAGAGTTTCATAAGCCCCAAACCCAGAGTTTCAAACTAGGGAAGACATGCTAAGTAGTTTGAGAATGGGGAGAGAATGCTTTAAGAATTAAGGATGGCGTGCCTGAGTGGCTCAGTCGTTAGGCGTCTGCCTTCGGCTCAGGTCATGATCCCAGGTCCTGGGATCGGAGTCCCACATCGGGCTCCCTGCTCAGCAGGAAGCCTGCTTCTCCCTCTCCCGCTCCCCCTGCTTGTGTTCCTGCTCTCACTGTCTCTCTCTGTCAAATAAATAAATAAAATCTTTAAAAAAAAAAAAAAAAGAATTAAGGATGTATTTCCCGAAAAAGGAGAATGATGGTAGTGGTTAGAAGAGGCAATTTCCTTCCTCTTTTCTAATTTCGGCTCCAGAGCCTCCAGCAGAAACTCTTCAAAATCTTTCATGTTACAGACTTCAATACTCCCATCAGCTTGGAGATAACATGTGGCTTTTGACAGCTCTGCTCCTTTGGGGTAAGTTGGGCTTAGCGGGGATAGCTAGAAGGGTACTGGCTCTGGCTATGGGGACTCAAGAAGACTTTTTGTCTTCCTTTGGTATCCTAGGCTAGAACTCATGAATATGGGGACAACTGTATCTGTGCTTCCACGGTTTATTCATGCTCATTATATCAAAAGCATAGGAAGAGAGACTTAGTGGTTAATATTTAGCCTGGAAGCACCATATCAAAATAAAGCCTTATCAATAACCATCTATAGACTGTTCGTACCATTAGTACCTGATTTGGAAAGGGGGTAGAGAGAGACTCAGGAGACTAAGCTGGCCCCTCAGAGTCTATATTAGTTTGGACTCCTCGATTCCCTTCCTTGTCATCTCCCAGTGACCAACTTATGCCTCTATTCTTTGGTCTCTTACAGTTCCAGTTGGTGCGCAAACCGGTGAGTAATCTTTAACTCAGTTTCTCTTCCTCTGCCACATTCCTTCTTCTAAAGGGTGAGTTTTGTTATCCTGAAGAAGAGAGTATAGGGAGAGGATAGAAACAAGAAAGATTTATAAATTATGTAAAGTCCCCTATATTCAGAGTATGATTTTGATAAAATCCTGGTTTTTAAGGGTTCTCTCTAAGGTTTCCTGAAAAAGCCCTGACTCAGGACTAAATGCCTACGTGTATATAATAACAGGAAAAGGCCAGAATTGCAAAACCATAGACGTAGCTCTGCTGGGTTTTCTAACATTTCTTGAGCCAGTCCCCTTTAGAAGAAAGCCGAGTACTTTTTTTCTCCTCAGAGAGAACCAAGCAAGTACTGAAGGTTTCAAAGTGAGGAGTTTGAGTCTTGGTTTCCAATGCAGATGCTAATTAAGGCCTGAGTTTAACCCTAAACGACAGTATTGCACAGCACGTAAGAGAGCCAGCTCCAGTCAACTTGCCTTGGTTTAAAACCCTGCTTCTTTGTTTACCAACAGTGAAAACTAAATTAGTCATTTGTTTCTTAGGAACCCCAAATCTCCAACATCCAGACGTAGATTTAATAACATGAACAGAGCTCTCTGCATGGGGTCTGGATGCTCTCAGTAGCTAGTTTTTATAGGTTCCCACTTGCTTATTTTTCAGTCTCATCTAAATATATATTTTTACCTTGTGCTATCCACAAAACCTTACCAGTTGCTCAGACCTTCCTTTTATTACTTGTTTTTTTTTTTTCTTAATCGCCCAAACAGACCTTGCAAAGGCAGTGATCACCTTGCAGCCGCCATGGGTCAGTGTATTCCAAGAGGAAAATGTAAACTTATGGTGTGAGGGACCCCATTTACCTGAGGACACCTCTACACAGTGGTTTCTCAATGGCACAGCCATTCAGACCTTGACCCCCAGACACAGAATCGCTGCTGCCAGTGTCAATGACAATGGTGAATACAGGTGCCAGACAGGTCTCTCAGTGCCAAGTGACCCAGTACAGCTGGAAGTCCACAGAGGTAAGTATGGCATGGAGCATACTCTCTCCAGGAGAGTTGGAAATCACAAGGTCTTCCTTTGTGTTTTCTCCTTTCTGCATGCCAGATATGTGTGTTTTCGTTTATTGGAGTATGAGTCTCAGCTCTATGTGCCTACTAGGTGAAATTAAGTCAAGATACTCAGAATATCACATTAGGGTCCTTAAACTGTGCCCCAACAGCACCCCAACTGGGACAGCTGTGAGCAGGGGATCTAGTGTAAAACTCAGACCCTAAGATTTTATTATTTAAAATGATCTAATTTGGGGGCACCTGGATCGCTCAGTCAGTTAAGTGCCTGACTTCGGCTCAGGTCATGATCTCAGGGTCCTGGAATTGAGCCCCGCATTGGGCTCCCTGCTCAGTGGGGAGCCTGCTTCTCCCTCTGCCTCTCACTCTGCCTGCTCATGCTCTCTCTCACTCACCCTCTCTCAAATAAATAAATAAAATCTTTAAAAAAAACAAAAACGATCTAATTTTGTTGAAAAAAGTTATGCCTGTACATAGTAAATAAGAATTCAGAGAAATGTGCAATGATGAACAATGAAGTCTCTCTTCCACTGCAAGCCCCTAGTCCCATGGTCACCTGCTGTAGAAATAAAACTGTTAATATACATATGAACTTAAAAAAAAAGTGGTTGGTAGAATACTCTATATACTGTTCTACACCTTGCTTTTATCACTTAAAATACCTTGGAGGTCTGTTTGAATCAATAGACATCTACTATGAACTTTCAAATGTCTGCCATATGGCTGTGCTATAACTGATTTAATCATTCTCCCTATTTGTAAACTTGTAGTGTATTTCCAGTTGTTGTTTTTTTAAGATTTTTTATTTTTTATTAGAGAGAGAGTACAAGCAGGGGGAGCGGCAGGCAGAGGGAGAAGCAGGCGATGTGGGACTCGATTCCATGACCCCAGGATCATGACCCCGGGATCATGACCTGAGCTGAAGGCAGACGCTTAACCATCTGAGCCACCCAGGCACCCCAGTTTTTTTGTTTTTACAAGCAATGCTGCAATAGACATCTCTATATGTATAGTCTGGGGCACATTTCATAATATATCTGTAAGATAATATTCTGGACATGAAATTACTGTGAGACTAAGCATTTTAAACTGATGAACAGAAGGGGGGAAAACCCACTATCCACTTAAATCTGTAAAAGGTTTCTATTTGTCAAGAAATGAAAACTGCAATACTTTTTAGGGTAAAATGTTTCATTATTCAATACAAATCATTCAAATGTGTTATTTAGTTATTCAAAAGCAGTAAGTTAAAACTCCATTGTAATTGATCATGTAAAAGTTAATCCAGGCTGGAGGCAGAATTAGATTTGTATGGACTAGGTTGCTTTTGGAGGAAATGTGTTTTAGCCAAGGAAATATTGAGAATGTCAGAGGAAATGCGAGGCATTCCTTATTAGTCTCTTAGATTTCTGGGAATCAGATCCTAGGCTACAGATGAGAGGGGAGCTGTCAGAATTTGTTTGTTTGTTTGTTTGAGAGGGAGAGAGAGTGCGCAGGCATGAGCACAAGGGGGGAAAGGGGCAGAGGGAGAATGAGAAGGAGCCTCCCCACTGAGCAGGGAGCCAGACCCCGGTGCAACCCCAGGACCCCAGGATCCTGACTGAGCCAAAGGCAGAGGCTTAACTGACTGCCCCCCAGACAGAACTGTTTTAACAAGAGACTTTGTGTAGTTCAAGCAGAAGCAGAAGTGTTTTATGGTTCAAGTGACAAAAAACGAAGCAGGGCTGGGAAGAGGCCATTTTCTTTGCCCCTGCACAGACTCTAGAAGACTTAGCATTGATGATGTATTGAGAATAATATATTTTACATTTTTAAAAAAGATTTATTTATTTGAGAAAGAATGAGAGGGAGAGGTAGAGAGAGAGGGGGAGAAAATCTCAAACACTCCATGCTGAGTGCAGAGCCTGTCGTGGGGCGCCATTCTCAGGACAGCGAGATCACAACCTGAGCCAAAATCGAGTCAGATGCTTAACCAACTGAGCCACCCAGGGACCCCTCTATTTTGAGCCTCTTATAAATAGTACCACTGTGAACATTTTTTTTAAAGATTTTATTTTTTTAAGTAATCTCTACATCCAACATGGGGCTCGAACTCACACCCCAGGATCAAGAGTCGCACTCCAGCAGCTGAGCCAGCTAGGTGTCCCCACTGTGAACATTTTTATACGTTTTTTGGTGCACATATGCACAGATCTGTGTTGGAATATGCCTAGGAGTGGAATTGCTGGGTCACAAAATGTGCATATATTTGTTCAGCTTTAGTTTTTCAAAGTGGTTATACCACATTACACTCACATCAGTGGAGTGTGAGAGTTCTGGTTCCTTTTCATCCTCATCAATACTCGGTGGTTCCTTTTTTTTTTTTTAACCACTCGGTTTCTATATTTTTCAGTTTAGCCATTCCGATGCATGTGCAATAGTTATCACATAGCTTTAATTTGCATTTTCCTAAAGACGACATTAAGCATTTTTCACATTTATTGCCTATTTGGATATCCTCTTTTGTAAAGTACCTGTCTAGGTTTTTTTTTTTTTTTTTAAAGATTTTATTTATTTATTCATGAGAAACAGACAGAGAGAGAGAGAGAGAGGCAGAGGGAGAAGCAGGCTCCCTAGGAGCAGGGAGCCCGATGCGGGACTCGATCCCAGGACCCTGGGATCATGACCTGAGCCGAAGGCAGACGCTTAACCATCTGAGCCACCCAGGCGCCCCCTGTCTAGGTTTTTTGCCAGTTTTTCTTTATTGTTGTCTTTCCTTATCGAATTGTAGGAGCTCTATATTTTGGACATGAGTCCTTTTCAAGTGTTGCAAATATCTTCCACTCTGTGGCTTGTCTTTTCATTATCTATGCTGTTTTCTTTTTTCAGTGAAAGAAGAGCTTACATTTACTGTAGTATAATACATCAGGTTTTTGGGTTGCTGCTCTCTATGCCCTTATTTAAAAATGTTTTGCCACAGGGATGCCTGGGTGACTCAGTTGGTTGTCTGCCTTCAACTCAGGTCATGCTCCCCAGGTGCTGGGATTGGGTCCTGGGATTGAGCCCCGAGTCAGGCTCTCTGCTCCTTGGGGATCCTGTTTCTCCCTCTCTCTGCC